AGAAATCTTGCTTGTTTGTAGGTGACCAAATACTTATTTTCCACCATAATTTGCAAATAAATTCTTTCCAAATCAGCCAATGTGATTGTCTGGATTTTTTTTCTCATTTTGTCTCTCATAGTTGAGGTCTACCTATGATGCCAATTACAGGCCTCTCTCATCTTTTTAAGTGGGAGAACTTGCACAATTGGTGGCTGACTAAATACTTTTTTGCCCCACTTTATGACCGAAGCTAACATATATTAGATCATACAGGATTATTTCCATTATTGTAGGTCGTTGTCACACCTACCTCCTGCTTTCTGAGACTTTTTCATGGTACATTCCATCAAGGCTCAGGAAATTGAAACAAAAACAAATAGCATGAAATCCTTACATTTATGTAAAACATTAATATTGGACTTATGAGAGAAGACTTTACAGTTGTGCAAATAAAGCTCTCAATTTGATGCCTCTCTGTTCGCTGTCAATGTCCTGGCCCCAGGAGACACCACTGGCACAGACTGGCCATCACTTTCGGGTTGTGCATCATCAATCTTCATCCTACATGTTACGTCACATGGACTTCGTCAGGGGTTTAAATGGGAAACTGAGAGACAAGCCTGAAGATCAGCACCAGAGCCCAGCTCTGCAGGCCTGTCACTAATTACACAGAATATCTCCCCAGGAGACATTTTGAACTCTGATTTTATGTTGTAATAGCCACCCTGGTCTACATAGTCCTCCCAGGACTTTGTACAGAATGCAGAAAGTTCCCATAATATCAATCCCCCACTCACTAAATTGTCTGTCTTTAAAATTGAGAATTTCTATACGATTCATCTTCTGAATGTGAAACTCCTATTTAGCATAGGCCCCAGCTTGTTGAAGGAACTGACGCAGCCACATGATTCAGCCCTCTTCACTCAGCAGTCTGAAATAAACTGAACGTCCTTAGAATTTAGCTCCCTGTCTGCTCTCTAGAGCTCAGCATCCAGTCTTATCAGGGAGTTCTCATCCTGGAATATCTTCATATCTTCAAATGGGATTTGTAGGTAAATAGATGCCTTCCTTCCTCTGTAGAGAACCTAATTTCAGACCTCTAATTTATAAATTGATCATTTAAAGTGGCACTCCAGCCAGACCGCTAAACACACAGCTGAAATACATGTATGTGAAGTGCCATAGGATTGGTAATTCTGCTGCACCAGTCTAGTGAATGTGTTTACCCCAAAGCTCAACTGCAGGTTTGTCTCTATTATTTATTTATTTAATTTTTACACCTTCTTTTTGGCCATAGTATGACTTGCCAAATGTAAAATGCCCCTTGCTGTGAGAACATCAGTTACCTTGCAGCAGAGAACCAGGGATGTGCATCTGTGTGTGTTCCTAGATCTCAGACAATGCTGTCAGCCATAAAAAAAATAGTTAGAGTTACTGTCAACAGTAACTGACACATTGGTCTGGGTGTCATTAAAAACTTTGGTCACAAAAGGATTAACCTCTTGATTATTAAAGTAGATGTAAGCTCTAAGAGGGCTGGAGTCCTGCATATCATAAATAATTGCAGTTTTGTTTAAATATAATACTTGTTTTTACCTTTTCATCTCTTTCATCTCAGTGTTGCTGATCTCTTGTATCCTCTTTGCGACCACTTCTGTCTACATGCACTCCAGCAGTGTCTTAGTGGAATTATTCAGGTTGGCTTTCTTGGTTGAGACAACAGTGGATCAGTTGAAACATCTGCTTCCATGGAGTTTTGCATGAATTGGGCATAAAATGTGCTCTGAACATCATCTAAGTCACAACAATAGAAGAACACAGTCTGCTGAACATAATACTACACAAACATTAGATGTTGCCATGGTTTAATTGCACATAACATGTAAACATTCACAGTGCAGGGAGGAAAACGTATGTGAACCTTTGGATTTAATAACTGGTTGACCCTCCTTTGGCAGCAATAACCTCAACCAAACATTTCCTGTAGTTGCAGATCAGACCTGCACAACGATCTGGAGTAATTTTGAACCACTCCTCTTCACAAAACTGTGTAGCAATATTCTTGGGATTTCTGGTGTGAATCGCTCTCTTAAGGTCATGCCACAGCATTTCAATCGGGTTGAGGTCAGGACTCTGACTGGGCCACTCCAGAAGGCGTATTCTGTGCTGTTGCAGCCATTGTTTTGTTGAATTACTTGTATGCTTTGGGTCATTGTCCTGTTGCATCACCCATCCTCTGCGGAGCTTCAGTTGGCGGACAGATGGTCGTACATTTTCCTGCAAAATGTCTTGATAAACTCTGGAATTCATTTTCCCATCAATGACAGCAATCCGTCCAGGCCCTGAGGCAGCAAAACAGCCCCAAACCATGATGCTCCCTCCGCCATGTTTTACAGTGGGGATGAGGTTTTGATGTTGGTGTGCTGTGCCTTTTTTTCTCCACACATAGTGTTGTGTGTTCTTCCCAAACAACTCAATCTTTGTTTCATCTGCCCACAGTATATTTTGCCAGTAGTGCTGTGAAACATCCAGGTGCTCTTTTGCAAACTTCAAACGTACTGCAATATTCTTTTTGGACAGCAATGGCTTCCTCCGTGGTGTCCTCCCCGTGTACTCCATTCTTGTTTAATGTTTTCCTTATTGTAGATGTGTCAACAAAAATGTTAGCATGTGCCAGAGATTTCTGTAGGTCTTTAGCTGACACTCTGGGATTCTTCTTTACCTCATGCAGCATTCTGCGCTGTGCTCTTGCAGTCATTTTTACAAGACGACCACGCCTAGGGAGAGTAGCAACAGTGCTAAACTTTCTCCATTTGTAGACAGTCTGTCTTACCGTGGACACATGAACATCAAGGCTTTTGGAGATACTTTTGTAACCCTTTCTAGCTTTATGCAAGTCAACAATTCTTGATCGTAGGTCTTCTGAGAGCTCTTTTCTGCGAGGCATGGTTCACATCAGACAGTGCTTCTTGAAACCAGTAAACCCAAAACAGGTGTGTGTTTTTTAAGGGCAGGACAGCTGTCAGCAACACATCCAATATCATCACACTGATTGGAGTCAAGGTTGGCTCACTCCTGGCTCCGATTAGCTCTGGGAGAAGTCATTAAGCTAGGGCCTCACATACTTTTTCCTCCCTGCACTGTGAATGTTTACATGTTATGTGCAATTAAACCAGTGGTTCTTAACCTGGGTTCGATCGAACCCCAGGGGTTCGGTGAGTCAGTCTCGGGGGTTCGGCGGAGGTGACCCACACCCGACTCATATGATTTGTGATGACATGCCCAGTGGTCGGCAAGCCGCGGCTCTTGTGTGCCGGGCGCCCGCTCCCCTCCAATGATTGGCCAGTCTCGCTGCCACTCACATCCTGATAGCCAGTGATTGGCTGTCAGGATGTGTGTAGGCGGGGCAGCGTGACGAACGTGAGAGGAGCTAGGCTCCTCTCACAGTCCGCCCTGAAGACCGGAACGGCGCGGGAATACAGCGAGAGGAACGCGCGGAGCAAAGGTAAGTGAATTGACACAGGGGGGACTTGGGGACTTAATATGGAGGATGAATTAATATGGGGAATGAATTACTATATGAGGGATGTATTACTATGGGGGATGAATTACTATATGGGGGATGAATTATTATATGGGGGATGAATTATTATATGGGGGATGAATTACTATATGGGGGATGTATTACTATATGGGGGATGTATTACTATATGGGGGATGTATTACTATATGGGGGATGTATTACTATATGGGGGATGAATTACTATATGGGGGATGAATTACTATATGGGGGATGTATTACTATGGGGGATGAATTACTATATGGGGGATGAATTACTATGGGGGATGAATTACTATATGGGGGATGAATTACTATGGGGGATGAATTACTATAGGGGGGATGAATTACTATAGGGGGGATGAATTACTATAGGGGGGATGAATTACTATATGGGGGATGAATTACTATAGGGGGGATGAATTACTATATGGGGGATGAATTACTATATGGGGGATGAATTACTATAGGGGGGATGAATTACTATATGGGGGATGAATTACTATGGGGGATGAATTACTATATGGGGGATGAATTACTATATGGGGGATGAATTACTATGGGGGATGAATTTTCATACCGTTTGTTACAACATATCTTTGCGAGCAATCCTTTTCGAGGATGCTGGACATAAAGACGAAGAAAAGGAACAGACTTTGTTGCGAAAATGACATGAGAGTGGCACTTGCCAAGGTAATGCCGCGCATTTCTGAACTGGCCTCTGAAAGACAACAGCAGAAGTCACACTGATTTGCGGTAAATATTCATTATTTTGTTTTTGTGTGAAAATCATGTTTTAATGGTTTTGTTCTTTGTTCTTAATGGTTTTGTTCATTTTGTGCACCTATGTATAAATATATACCTATGTTTTTTTAATTTTAAAAATCATATTTTATTTTTCCAATTAAGAAGGGTTCGGTGAATGCGCATATGAAACTGGTGGGGTTCAGTACCTCCAAAAAGGTTAAGAACCACTGAATTAAACCATGGCAACATCTAATGTTTGTGTAGTATTATGTTCAGCAGACTGTGTTCTTCTATTGTTGTGACTTAGATGACGTTCACAGCACATTTTCTGCCCCATTAATGCAAAACCCCACGTAATCCCAAGGGGTTCACATACTTTTTCTTGCAACTGTATATGGACTACTAGCAAGGAGCTGCAGGCTACCATTGCCTGGCTTCCTAGAACACGGCTAGTTCCAGAGGAGACACATTACAGTGCATCTTACAGCAGAGGTTCCCACCACCCTGGAACAAGCACTGAGGGAACATATTGTGCAGCGAGTGTCTCCAGTGCTGGCTGGGAGGCTCAGCTAAGACAGATCAAAGCCATTCTTTCTGATATGTAGGTGCTAACAGGTACAGTCAGCAAAGATCTTTTCAACAATTTCACATTTTAATAAACCACCCTCCAGTCTTTTCACTGGTTACTTACTTCCCCTTTCATTTCTCCTAGGCCTACATCCAGATCACCTATGTGGAGCCATATTTCGACACTTATGAGCTGAAGGATCGCGTCACCTACTTTGATAAAAAACTACAACCTACGGACGTTCCTGTTCTGTACTCCGTTCACCTTGGATGGCCGGGCTCACGGTGATCTCCATGAACAGTACAAGCGCAAGACTGTTCTCACTACATCACATGCTTTTCCATACATCAAGACCCGGGTGAATGTGGTACATCGAGATGAGGTGAGTATGGTAGCGGGACACATCTGGGCAGAGAAAAGAAGATCCTGCAACCAGCTAGAAATGACTATGCATCTCTGTACAGATTTTAATGCCACATTTTTGTAGATACCTTTGAAAATGCTGGACTTTGTATGGTCTTTGTCTCTGCCAGGTGGTATTAATACCAGTTGAGGTTGCCATTGAAGACATGCAGAAGAAAACACAGGAGCTGGCATTTGCTACCCATCAGGACCCAGCGGATGCCAAGATGCTGCAGATGGTGCTCCAGGGTTGTGTGGGGACAACAGTTAACCAGGTAAGTAGAGTGGAAGGTTACAGACAGTGGTGTATTTAAAGAGCCTGACATTGACTGAGACACTCCAAAGATATGCTGGTAGGTTAATTGGTCTGAGGATTTTGGGAATAACATGTGTTTTATGTTAGGGCCCTTTGGAGGTGGCTCAAGTGTTTCTGTCGGAGATTCCTGAAGACCCCCGTCTGTACAGACTACATAACAAATTGAGACTCTGCTTCAGAGACTTCACCAAGAGGTGGGTACAACTTGGGCACAGAGTTTGTAGGGGGGAAAAGCTCAAAGGTATTTAGATGAAAGGGACACGAGGAGAATATGGTGGGAAGACAGAAGTGCAGGGACAGAATCGTATGAAGAGGAGAGCACAGACCATAGACAGGGAGAGAATTGTGAGAGAGAGGAGAGCAGAATTAGGACAGGTTGGGGATAGAGAGAGAGGAGAGTCTGAAGTAAGGAGCAAAGAGAAACTTAAATGGGCAAATAGTCTCTTGATAGGCACCACCCCACCCACTTATGCTCACTTTCTTTGTGTGGTGCCACTGCTCCATTCATCTGTCGGAGATTTACCCCATACCTCCAAGTATGTGGGATCATGTGACCGTCTTCCTTTCCTGCCAGGATGCAGTCAATTCCAGGCCTGAACACTGGAGTATGGGAGAGGGACGAGGACTTAACCCTGTGTAAAACAAGACCAACATGGAGTTTATTCCAGGAAAACAGTTGCTCCAAGCTCATATTCAAGTCACGGTCCACTCACTGCAAAGGTCCTCTCTCCAGACTGGATCCAAACCAAATTGTCACTTGAGATATATTCTAAAGTAAAGCTATTTGAAGAGTCAAGTCACCCATAAACCAGGCATGACTTTTCCGTTTCAACCTGAAAGGGTCTTAGTCATACCCACTAAAATGTGGCTGAAATGGCGGGGTAGCACTGGGAAGGGGAGTATCAGTGGGCCGGGGGAGAGCCCTCTCAGTAGAACTAGTGCCCAGTCCGGATTCTGTTTGATCCCCTCTAGTGTTAGTATTCTGTTTTCCTTATGAGCTCCTTACTTCACAATGTCCTCTCCATGTATTGTTCCCCTCTCTCTATTCCCTTCTTTTTCACTGTGGTCTGTGCTCTTCACATTATCCTGCCCCTATCCCAGTAGTTTCCGTTGAAAGGAATACAGGAAAATAATACAAGGAGGCGATATTAAAGGGAGTGCAAGCAGAAAATGATAAACAGGTGACATGGAGGTAACAGTGAGAGGAGAATAGGGCAATATAGTGAACAGAGGAGCACACAAGCAGGAGATGGCGAGGAGAGGGGCCCGCAGGCAGGAGATGGTGAACAGAGGGCTGCGCAAGCAGGAGATGGCGAACAGAGGGGTGCGCAAGCAGGAGATGGTGAACAGAGGGGTGCGCAAGCAGGAGATGGCAAACGGGGGCGCGCAAGCAGGAGATGGCAAGCGGGAGGTGGCGAGCAGAGGGACACGCAAGCATCAGATGTTCAACAGAGGGGCGCACGAGCAGGAGATGGTGAGCAGAGGGGTGCGCGAGCAGGAGGTGACGAGCAGAGGGGCGCGCAAGCAGGAGATAGTGAGCAGAGAAGCGCAAGCAGGAGATGGCTAGCAGAGGAGCACGCAAGCAAGAGATGGTGAGCAGAGGGTCGCGCAAGCAGGGGATGGCGAGCAGAGGGGCGCACAAGCAGGAGATGGCGAGGAGGTGGTGGCAGTGTGAAGGGTTAATTGCATAGTTAACCTGACCCAGTAACAATCGCTCAGGCTGCCAGTACATCGATTGTGGTCCATTAGCAGGAAAATCGTTGTGCAGGTTGCGGCTGGGTGTGGCATTGTTACTCACGTGACATCGTGGCTTCAGATTGGCCTGTCCTTCGGTCACGTGTTTGGTGAGAAGGTCAGGGGTCTAACGCCGCATCCGTCACATATTGGTGACAGCGATCGTGGGATCGTCACATATTGGTGGCAGCGATCTCGCGTCCGTCACAGATGGTGAGCAGAGGGGCGCGCAAGCAGGAGATGGCGAGCAGAGGGGCGCACAAGCAGAAGATGGCGAGCAGAGGGGCGTGCAAGCAAGAGATGGCAAGCAGATGTGCGCACAAGCAGGAGATGGCGAGCAGAGGGGCGTGCAAGCAGGAGATGGCGAGCAGAAGGGCGCACAAGCAGGAGAAAGTTAAAACAGAGTAGAACGAGGTGAATGGAGCCAGAATAAAAAACTTGTAATAAGTCTCCCATTCTTTTATTTAGGTGCGAAGATGCTTTGAGGAAAAACAAAACTCTGATTGGCCCAGACCAGAGGGAGTATCACCGCGAGCTGGAGAGAAATTACCATCGCCTCAAAGAAGCTCTCAGCCCTTTAACATCTCGTCGGATCCCACAGCTGTACACAGATCTGCTCCCGCACACCAGTGCAAGGTATACACAAGTTTGTGTGCTCAATGTCCTTTACACCAACAGAATGAAATACAGGACACCCATCTACATTCACAAACATCAAGCACATATACATACACAAATCCTGTCTGGTATGAAATCATTTATGTTCATCTCTTATTTCAGGGACTCCCTGACCCGCACAAGCCTACGGAGAGTTGAAGCTTGAGAACCTCGAGATGTCATTAATCCTCCACTTTACAGACATGCCATTAGGGGGCGCCAGCATTGTCACTGCCTGTACAGCTCAGCGTTCCATTGATTGCAGGCCACAGTTCTGTACATTTGAAATGTCTATTTCTGCTGTCACCTATACATATTTCTGTGGAGCCAGGACCTAGAGATGACTTATGAAGGAAAGGGCCAGGAATCAGAAAAGGGAAAAACTGGACATGGGATGGTATATGTGGACCACACTAGGACTAGGATCTGTTTAGGAAGAAGGGTCTCTACCCGTTCTCCAGAATGTCTCCTCCTGTGCTGAGTGCACAGTTGGTAGATTGTCATTCCAAAAACTGTATTTTGAGTTTTTTTGTTGTGTTTTTTTTTAATATGATTTGGTCGATAAAGAAGGGACAGATGGAAGAGGACACATCCTGAAAGGTAATGAGTTGAGCTCATAGGGAGGTTTGATGTACAGTCCATAGAAAAGATACAGTTGCCCATCACAAGCCCATGCGATTACTCCTGTAATGTACTGGAAGCTCAAAGTGGTTGTAAACCCTTACATATACCCGTTGAAGTGACTGGCCTCTGCTAGTGATACAAACAGATGAAGCAAATCCTCCTACATAAGTTGTACCTTTTTATCTGTAGCCATCTCTCCACTACATCTGTTCTAAGTCAAGAATTTACACAGCATTTCTATTTGTCAGAAGGCAGGTAGTGGGCATATGATGTCACACACTGTACAACAGAGAGCTGAGTGTAATCTGAGACCTGAGTGGAGGTAATGGACACACACACACCCCTCTACACAATCTCCTAGGGCAGGGGTGGGCAAACTGCGGCTCTCCAGCTGTTGTGGAACTACATTTCCCATGAGGCATTGCAAAGATTACAAAACTAACAGTTACAGCTATGACTTGCAGAGGTATGATGGAACTTGTAGCCCTGCAACAGCTGGAGAGCCGCAGTTTGCCCACCCCTGTCCTAGGGAAACATGCACAGCTAAGGCTGTTATTTATTTGTTGTGTACTGGGGGGGGGGGGGGACATCTCCCATGATTGCCTAGTGTTGGCATAAACTGTCAGAGGAATGGGACAGGAGGCAGAAGTAAACACCATAGAATGATATGCATTGTTCATTTATAATGTCAGAGGTTTACATCCACTTTAAATGGGAGTTTGTGATTGGACGCAACAAGAACTGTTCTTTCTTTGTAGAAATGATGTCCCAAAAAAAAAAAAAAAATGACCAGTCAGGTAAGGCGCTCCCCTGCACCAAACTTTTTTTTTTTCCCTTTTTTTTATAAAGGGAACCTGTCAGTGAGGACACTGCTGATCTAATTGGTTTTTAGGTGCAAGTTCCAAGGCTACATTCCTCATTTATGCCTCACTGCATGAATCACAGCCCTAGAAATATGCAGTTTGGAGGAACTTCCCTGGTTCCATACTATTTTCCAGAACACTCACCAGACAGGCAATGAAGAATGAGGAAACGGTCCTAGAACATGCACCTTTAAGTCAGCAAAGGCTCACAGATTCAGTTTAGCTGCATTAGGAAGCTCAGTGTCTTGTGCACCTCGGCACGGACAGGGACACTGAGCAGGGACTGGCAGCGCACGGAGGAAGCCCTTGTTGGGAGCTGGCCATCTGATGCATGTGACTTCACATTCCGCGATGCCAAATTTACAGTGAGAGATCAGCTGCATACACTAGAGGCAGCCATAGTTCACCAGTTTTGTTGAAGGATGTGGCCTGTCTATTTACTTTGTGGGTAGGAGACATTAGGGTGTCACATCATCCATATACAGTAGATGACACCATTCTGCGGGTTCAGCCAGTACTGAATTCAAGACCTCCCCAGCTTCTAGTAACATTACTGGGACCTGTGCTCTTCTGTTTCTGGAAAGTTGATTGGCCATTTTTTTCCAAAACAAGTGGCCTGGTTTGCTTGCCTTCATTTTTTGGGTGACAAGGGCTGGATATGTTGAATAAGCTGAAATGTTCACAGAAAAAAAAGCTCTGAATTGAGTTGGTAATTCTATTATGGCCTTAATACGTCTCAGGGAAATGCTGGCGGACTATGGAAAGGCGCTGATAATGGCAAGGCCCCGTTCCGCAATGCTGTACATTTATTTATGGGCATTTTGAAGTCTCTTCTCTCCCTGCCTTTTACAAGTCTGTGTAGCTGAACTATGACATGATTGTATTTTATATAGAACATTGAATGCACTGAGCAGAACCAAAAAATATTTAAATGCCGACTACGTGAAAATATTAGAAAGCCCAACCACATCATAAACTTTTTCAGGTTTGTCGAGACGTTCTTGTTCTCTGTGTCCCCGGTGGAGCTTTTGTCCTCACTTCCTGTCCCAGTGACATCAAGACATAATATGAGAGGGTGGTGGTTATCACTGGCACAAGAAGACACTGAAAAAAATCTGATCTCTCCACACCCGACTATATATAAACATGCTTTTGTTGCTGCCTCTATCCCTATCAGAGAGAGAGAGTCTATAATTTGGGACATTTATTTACCAGGACAGGAAGTGAGTGTGTGTTGCCCCAGTGGGGACACTGACAGCAGTACAGTACATGTGTCTGTGTTTCACCATTTCTGATGCATGTTCTTCTGGGGCGTCCCTAGAGTTGGTGTCACCCGATGCGATAACACTTGGTGACACCCCCTCCGATGATCCCTGCAGAATGGATCGGATCTGCGGAGTGAGCATAATGGATCGGACTCCGATCCAGTAAACTCCCCAATCCGCAGATCCGATCCATTCTGCGGGGATCATTGGCTTTCTTTACAACTTACCTTTTCGTGGAGCGGGTCCGGTGTCACCCCCTATAGGTTGCATGCCGATGATCCCAGCAGGATGGTTCGAATCTGATGGCTGCATTAGTTTTTTTTTTCTTTTATGCTTGCTTTCTTCTATTTTCATCTGTTGATCTGGCCAGTAAGTCAGCGGCTTTTCAAGAAAACAAGCTCTCTTCCAGATGTATCAGTTTAAAGGGATGAGACAAACCATTTATCACTGACAAGGGTGCTGTAACTGCTTATAAAGTATCGGCTGGTGTTTGGCTTCAGTTTGTTAATATAGTTAAATATGGTAGTACATTTAACACTCGCCTCCCCCCCAGACCAACAGTGCTGCTGTCCTGTTTGCTGTGCCTCCTGTGCTTATTCTTCCAGAGTGGAGGACTCTAATACAGGAAGTCTGGTACTGGCCAGATCACCAGGTGAAAACAGAAGAGGGAAAAAAAAAAAGTATAATTATAGGCCATATTTTTTTTTTTTTTTTGGATAGAATGGAGAGGCATTATTAGAACACTTGTCAGTTTATATTGCTGTCTGTGTCCCCATTAAGGAGATTTTCCCTCTCTGTTTGTCCTGTTTACCATTATCATTAAAAATCCCAAATTTGGGGTTTTCCCCAGAAAAGTAATAGAAGGGAAATTTTCCAATGAGGACACTAGTGACCTGGGGGCCCCCATGGAATTCTCTTAATTTGCAGAGATTTCCTCTCACTTCCTGTTTGGCTATGGGACAGGAAGGGAAATGAAATCTCTACGGTGTGACACAGAGGGTGATAAATATCTGAAAGACGTTCTAACCCTCTCTTACTCTATCCTAAATGAAAAAAAAGGCTTTGCCTATAGTTCTACTTTAAAAAGAAAAGTAATGCAGCCACCACATTGTATGATTGGCAAGCTGCAATATATTACATTTTCAGGAAAAGGTGAACTAATACCATACACCCTCCCCAGTCCCCGCTGTACTTACCTCCGTGGCTGCCAAGCTGTTACTATCCATGCAGCCTGTGTAGCGGTTGAAGGATCTGAAATCCCCCCTCTTCTCCCTCTTTTGTTGTGCAGCGTTTCCAGGACGGAGCAGAATGATGCTCTTTGCTGGCGTTGACCAATCAGAATCACTCTGATCCATCCTGGAAGTGCTAAAGAAAAAAGAGGGAGAAGAGTGGGGATTTACAAATCCCTAGACCGGCTGAATGGGCACTGACAGCTCATCACCTACAGAGGTAAATGCAGCGGGGACCGTCGGGGGTGAATAGGGTGTACAGTGTGTGTTCACCTTTTTTAATTTTTTCTGAAAAGGTGAACTACTACCATACACCCTCCCCAGTTCCCGCTGTACGTACCTCCATGGCTGCCAAGCTGTCATTATCCATGCAGCCCGTGTAGCGGTTGAATGTTCTGAAATCCCCTCTCTTCTCCCTCTTTTGTTGTGCAGCGTTTCCAGGACGGAGCAGAATGATGCTCTGTGCTGGCGTTGACCAATCAGAATCACTCTGATCCATCCTGGAAGTGCTAAAGAAAAAAGAGGGAGAAGAGTGGGGATTTCATATCCCTGGCTGAGTGGGCACTGACAGCTCATCACCTACAGAGGTAAGTGCAGCGGGGACCGTGGGGGTTGAAAAGGGTGTACAGCGTGTGTTCACCTTTTTAATTTTTTCTGAAAAGGTGAACTAAAACTCGACTACACTGGGCCCGTTATCCCGGATCCATGTTGTTCGGTAGGGCTTATGTTATGAGCACCTTTGATGCGATGTTGTAGCATTCATTGAGTCTTCCTTGTCCTGTAGGGTAGGGCTGTTGGAGCGCACCAAACCCCATTCACTACCATTGGCTGCATTCATGGAAAACCAATCGGAAGCCAGAGTGACCGTCAATCAGCTGCTTTTAGGGCCAACTAAACCCCAAAGGCGGCTTTCCTTCGATGTACATGTGCTTGCTGAGCTCAGTGGTAAAGTACTTTTCAGATGTTTCCACTGCAACACGCTCAGTTCTGTGTGCAGCTTGGAAGCATTGTCTGTAGGGTTCAGTAACCCAGATGATCGGCAGGCAAGCTTCTCTAGCTCCCATTTTGGCTGTTCGGCTCACAGTCAGGGCAGATGGATGGATGGTCTCCAACAACCCATGTGCCAGTAGTCTGAAGCTGTCCTCGCAGGTTTCAGTTCGATTGTATGGTCTTCATGCAATCTTC